CCATTCTGTTATTTCCTTGACAGTGGCATTCCTGTTTGAGGTGCAGTGACGTTTAAGGGCCCGGAGATCACGAGCATCCAGTAGAGTTTTACGGCCTTGACCCTTACGCCCAGCGATCGTTCCAGATTCTCTGAATCTTTTGATGATGTTATGCACGGTTGATGATGATAACTTAAAAGTCTTTGCTATTTTACGCTGGGCAACACCATTCTGGTATTGCTGCACTATCTTTCTGCGCAACAATGGTGGAATTGGTGATCCTCTTACCATCTTGGCTTCTGAGAGACACTGACACTCTGAGAAGCTCTTTTTATACCCAATCATGTTGTCAATTGACCTAATTATTGTTAATTGGTCTTCCAGCTGTTAGTTATATGCTCAATTTCCTTTTTCCAGCCACTTATTGCTACTTGTCCCAACTTTTTTGGGATTTGTTGACATTGTGAAATTTTGAATCAACATATTTTTCCTTAAAAATGTTACATTTACTCAGTTTAAACTTTTGATCTGTCATCTGTTTATATTATGAATAAAATATTGACATTGGCCATCCCCACATCATTGCTTTCAGTTTTTATTCACAATTTGTTTAGTGTCCCAGCTTTTTTGGAATCCGGTTTGTATTACATGACACAATGGCATGCCATACTGCTCGAGTGCCATCTACTGGCTGAAAATGGTAGTGTTCTATGTTTTTAGTCAGAATGAATGAAAACCGACATATCTCAGACAAACATTCGTTTCTAAATACGGGGAAAAAAAAATCTATAAATACGTCGCTTCGGCATATAAGTCACAGGTCATGCACATTACGCAATAAAAGACACGACTTATAGACCAAAAAATACAGTAGTTAAAATCTAGCTGGTTGGTAAAAGATTAGTGCCATTAATAAAGTGCGTAATTTCTATTTATAAATATCAGTTATTTCTAGAATAAGAAGCTATTTATTAAAACACATACTGTATGAAAATGTTTTATTTTTATCAGGTGTTTTTCATGTGCTAAAAAGCATTTTTTTTTGTAAAAATGAGGATTTTTTTTTTGCGTATTAAAGAGTTTTTTAAAATTATTCCTCAGCTCCCATCTCACCCTCTCACCCCGTCTCGCCATGCCGAGGGGAGGTCCATGACAGTCGCCCCCACCTACCACACCCTGCCACACCAGTCCTCCCATGGGACAACCCACAGCACCTTAATGTGGGGCCCTCTGGAACCACCCAACACCCCCAAACCCTGGAGTCTGAGCTGTTTGAGACCTGCACCACCTCTGAGGCCCTCCGCTGCTCTCTGCTACAAAGAGGTGAGGGACTGTGCTTTCTGTAGTTTGTTTTATTGTGTAAACTTTCTCAAACTTCTTTCTCTTTTGTTGTGCATCTGCAGGATCTCAGTAAAAGTCCGAAGAGTGTGAAGAAACTCCTTCCTAAACGCAAACCTGAGAGAAAACAGTCTGAGGAGGAATTTGCCTTGAGGAAGAGTGGGTTTACATTTTGTTTTACTTTAAATGGGTCAAAACATCTCCTGCATCAGAATCAGAATAAGCTTTATTATGATTGCACTGAGATACAACGAGAACATGTATGTACAGTAGGGGTGGGCGATATGGCTCAAATATAATATCGTGATATTTCAGAGCATTCTGATGATAACAATAAATTTCGTGATATAACAAAAAAACAAAACAGAAATCATAGTTATTCATTTGACAAAATTCACTTAACATGTTGCTTTGCAGTATTATATAAAAACAAAAAAAACCAAGGGTTCATTTTACTGAAATTACTTTATTTAATAAAGTATTCAGTCTCCCAAGTATAAATATAAAAAAATAAAAATGATCCTTCTGTTACTTAGATTGAAAAAATCTGCTCAAATTATAGATAAATAAATCCACCACAAACACTAAAGTGCAGGTGAAGTTTCCCAAAATAACTAAAAAAAAATGAAGCTTAAAATTTGTTGAGCATAAATGTAACATACAACAAAATATATGTTTCCTTTAAATGAGCTATAACTTCCAGAACTTGTAACAAGGTGATCAGCTGACACTGAAGCTCGTGGAGTTTCAGCTTCTTCTGTTCCCGCAGGAATGATTCATTTCTCTGATGCTCTGTCTCTGATCACCTGACTCTGTTCTTGGTCCATGGACCGTGGAACTAAGAGAAAGACCTGCGTGTGTTTGTACCGGCAGTTTAGAGCGGAGGAGACGCAGCCGAGAGCTGCGCCCGCACCGGCAGCTCAGAGTGGGGTGTGGGGGGAGGGAGAGACAGCTCGAGCTCTCTGTACCCGCAGTTTAGAGCTGGATGGAGACAGCTGAGCCGCGCGTTGTTTGTTTTGAGCTTTTTAGCTAGCTAGTATTGTGCGCAACTAATTAACGTTACACCAGTACATTACACCAGACTGGTGGAGGGGGGGTGCGCAGTTCGGTTTGGTCGTTCGGCGCACTCGGTTCTGTTAACGGGGCGGGGCGCTTGATGTATTACGTCATGAAATTAGCACAGCATGATATCATTTTTTGCCCGGGCAAGCTTTTTTTTACCGGTATTATTGTGAACGATATGATATGGCCCAGCCCTAACATACAGTCATCCGAAAGATGGGCGGAGTGCATGAAGCTGCTGCTATAAAAAGCGCGGCCCTCATTATTCTTATTCAGAATAATATTTTGCTTAGATGAGAAAAGGGAAGAAAACATGAGGAGAGATTGTATAAAAAAAAGATCTCATGCCGTGTCCTAGTCAGGGCACGACTTGAGGCATATAAAAAAACCTACCACAGCCAAGCAACATAAACAGACGTTATACATTTACATATAGGCGGTGAAGACATTGAATTTTTAAGGGAAAGTCGTAGCATAGTCCAGAGCCCCACCTCTCAGCCATTGTCCAGATAAGAGATGACATTCATCATCAGCTCGGTTGAGGTTCTGTCACATGTCCACGGCCTTGGGGAAGGGAGAGGTGAGGAGACAGACAAAGCATCTTTGTTTTTTTCTAAACATGCCAGGAGGAGTTGAGATAAGTCCGGCATCAAGGCCACAGTTTTGGGTCAGGCAGAACTCGTGAATTGTTGTTTTTGCCTTTTAAAATCTCGCTGGTATATTCCTCTGATGGAAACTCCAAACAGTCGAATTGATTCCTTACGCCGAAAGTCGAGCTCACAGCTTCTCCAAGATTATTCCCACCCTCATGTGTGCTGTTAGAGAGTCCACAGTCCTTGAGGGGTACGGAGCGCCGGGAAAATACGTCTGACTTCACCGCTCTCCGCTCACTCGCAAGTCGTGTAACCAGATCACATGACCAGTCAAATCACAGCCTTTACGATTAAAAGATCTCATTTTATCATATTGCGATATTATCGCAAATGCAATTAATTGTTCAGATCTAGTCTAGACGATAACCTCCCCAGACTAATCAAGTTCTTGTATTTTTTATTTTTTTATTAAAATGATCAAATTGATGACATGTTCATAAATTGTTTGACCTTTTCTCGCTCAGGTACAGCTGCTCTGGAAGAAGATGCTCAGATCCTGAAAGTAATTGAAGCGTACTGCACCAGCGCCAAGACCAGGCAGACTCTTAACTCTAGTAAGCAAATGTAAAATCTTTGACCTGCTTGTGTACAGAAGAGGGTCTTACTGGCGTTTGCTCAGTTTGGTGTAACAGTATCTGTATTCTGCACTCAGTGCCTTTCTTTAACTTCGGTGTTCTGAACTGATCTTTCTAACAGTTTCTTCTCTTTCTGTCTCTTTTCCATTTCTTACTTTTTGGTATTTTTCTAATTTACCTTGAGTTTGTCTTTCCTTTTTTTTTAAAACCCCTTTATAATTTCCTTCATCTTCTCCTTCTGCATCCATCATTGCTTGGCCATTCGTTGCGTATGCAACCCCAACCACCCTGCATTGTCACCATTTCCTCCCCCTCCATTTGCATCGCCACCATCACTTTGGCCTGGTCCAACCAGCCTGGCAGGGCACTGACCTGATGCACAACCACGTGCTTGCCGACGTGGACCAGTCGTGCGTGGACTCTTCAGGCCGCCGTAGCAGCGTGTCTCGGCCAGAACTGAGCTCGGACCTGTCTGAAGACTCTGACTATGACTCCGTCTGGACCACACATAGTTACAGAATGGGATCAGTGCCACGCAAGAGCTGCATCTCGCATCAGAACTAAAGATTGTACAGCGCCGCCGTGCTGTACGTTAATGTAATGTAGAGTGCGCTTACCTTTTTTGCATTTAGATGTATCGAAGTAGTTTTTTAAATTGTCTATTTATTTTTTAAGTTATTTAACTTATTTTCGACTGCTTGTTTGAAAATGGTTTCAGCATTTCCCTGTTGCCTTTGCCACATTTCCCTTTTCTGTGCCTCCTCTCTGTCTGTAGTGTTCATGCAGTAAGTGTTAGCTACTTATTGTTGAGTTATCATGAATGTGGCCGCTCTCCTTGTTTGACCATAAATGTGGTGGACTCTGTGTGGAGAGAACAAGGATTCTGGAGTGGAGTAAAGGGGAGGGATGAATATGGACTCTCATTTTTTTTTTTTTTTCCTGTCTGATATTCAGATGCAATTCAAGCACGAGCGTATTCAACCGACTTAATTGTTTTCAGTGTACGTTCATACGCTCAAACAAAGCACAGATGCTACACAAGCATGCACATGCAGGCTCAGGCACATACGCCCCTGCTGTCTGGGAAGTGAAAATCCAAATTCTCAATTTTTTTTCATTGCTGTTGCATAATTTAATGTTTTACGCCTATTTTAACGTCAAAGGAAGATCAAATTTAACACATCCAGGCAGCTGGTGGAGAAATAAAAGCCCTCGCTACTTTTAGTAGTGTATAAAATTTAGTTTGCTCTTGTTAACTCTTTTTAGTAGGATTTACCAACAGGAAAAACATTATTGTACCAAACATGTAAAATACATATAGGCAATTCAACTTCAAACAAGCTTTATGCAACATGCAGATACATTTGGTTTTACTTGTCACTAAAAATACAACTCCAGCAGGTCTTTCCATTTCAGGTCCACTTCTCAAAATCAAGACAAATTCTCTGCAAGCTTCTTATCTTTCATTTTATCAGCGGTAATAAATTGACATATTGTTTTATCTTCACATCTTCCAGATCTTCGTAGGTTAATATCTGTTAGTGACTTACATTTATGTTTTTGAAATCTCAGGCTACTGTAATAAATAGACGTAAACCAAACCAGGTAAAATGCACCAATTCAACACAAATTAACCTTTGACCTTTGGACTTATAATGCAGACTGACTGCCTTTTTTAAGTATTAAACAATATACGAAGGGTGTAACAGTACAACTGAGTCGTGGTTTGGCGCGTACGTCAGTATGACGCTCAGTGTTTGGTACAAGAAAAAAAAGTGCTTCATTCTAGATTTTATTTTATTTATTTTCACTTTAAACTGATAAAAATTCTTCAAAAAATAAAAATATAAAATAAAAGTCAGAACAATGAACCGCTCTTGTTAGTGAGGAGTCTATGGCCATGTACCAGTAGACAATCCTAAAGTATTTTTTTTTTATTTAACCTTTATTTTACTAGGATAAAAAAAACAACAGTTACTATAAAACAAGCTAGCTATTAAACGGGTACATGCCATTGAATTGGCCTCAATGACTAGTAATAAGTATGATTTGTCAACTAGTTACCTCGCTGTAAAACTAATGCGGTTCTACAGGTCACAGTAAACAGATAGTATGACAAAATTCAAAAGTGAAAAGTAAATCTCTTATTAAAATACTGGTAGTATGATTAGTGCTGCGCCCACCACTTCCAAATGTATTGGTGTGTTTGGGTATGCACTGCATTAAGCGCAGCTTTCTGCAGAGCGCACTATCTGTGGTTTCAGTGAGGAAGATGGCGTCTTGACGCACAAATCAAAGGAGTCTCAGCATGTGCGTGCAAACATTGGAGATCGTGTGTGTCTACTGTGATCACTGTGAACTGAGCAGCCTCATTCTTTCCCGTTCCGATGTCTTGGTGTGGTTGTCTGGCTGTCACATTATGCTCTACTCCATGTGGGACAAACGTAAAGGAAGTTTTTAGAAAGGAGCCTCATCTTGAGCCTAAAATCTTTTAACTTGGGGATATTCTGTATAGATCGGGGCTATTCAACTGAATTGCTCAGGGGCCACAGTTACTGAAAGCTAAGAGCTCAGGGGCCGGACATCCAGCAGTTATGGTCATTAAGTAGAGTTGTTTAATGATTTAAAATCATCCATCCATTATCTTTACCTGCTTCTTCCTTTATGGGTCGTGGGGTCACTGGTGCGCATGTCCAGCCATCACTGTGTGAGAGTCGGGGGACACTCTCACTCACACCTAGAGACAATTTAGAGTTACCAATCAGTCTAACATGCATGTTTTTGGTGTGTGGGAGGAAACCGGAGCACCCGGAGAAAACCCACGCATGCACGGAGAGAACATGCAAACTCCACCCAGAAGACCAGGATTTGAACTGGGGCGACCTGCTTGCTGAGAGGCGGCAGCTCTACCAACTGTGCCACCGTGCTACCAATTTAAAATAAAGTTTTATTTAAAAATAAACTCATTGGTGGGCCTAACTGAGCACACCCACGGGCCTGATTTGGCCCTCGGGCCACCAGTTGAATAGCCCTGGTATAGATACTGCTTCTTTTTCTCCTCCTCCTCATTGATGAATCTAATGCCAGAGCTTCTCCTCTTAACAACTGGACTATTCAAGCTGTGGCTGTAAAAACAAGCTACTATTTTAGTCTCTCTGCAACCACGGCTGAATTAGGGTGCACCTTTAGTGCTACTCCTTCAGTTTGCCAAGTCCGTACTGCTACCTATACGTGACGAGACCATAAAGTCTCCTCTCCTTATCTGCAGTTAATATAAAGCAATTAAAGAATGAACTGTCGTCACAGTGATAGTGGTAGTCACCTGTGTCTAACGTATTTGACTCCTTTGTACCAGACAGTTGTACCATGAGGGTTTGGTGCAAACACGTGTACTGTTACACCCCTACAATATCTTCTGCATTAAAACGTCTTTTCCAGTATTTTGAGAAATGCACAACATTTTAATGTTTCCTTGTTTTCTTCAACTGAAATATAATCTGGATGCGTTTGAAATCCAGTCTGCTTTCCTTTAAAACTCCCCGTTTCCATGTGTTCTCCAGACTGTGGAGAATGGAGTTGCATGTTGCAAGTGGGTAATTTGATCAATTATTTTAAGTAAAATATTGGCTTAGGGGCTGTAAACCCTTTTTACCTCCTCAGGAAAGACATGCACGAGAAGGTTTGATTACACAGATTCAAATAAATAATTACAGGTCCATTTCTGAAGCTTTAGATCTGATTAGCTAACTAGCAGCTTAGCCGTTTGCCTTGATGTCTTCGATAAACCGATAGAGCGAAACGTTGGTTCCTGCTGTTTGCTTTATACGTGGTTTTACAACTTTCTGCAAAAAATATTCTTTACAGTTGTATTTAGCTGACACAACATGAGCTAAAACATCATTTTTCTTGCCACAAACTAGCATCTATGCTAATGTCTCATTAGCTACAACCTGCCTTTACTAGCGTTTGAGGTTTCCCGTTTTATTTCTTGTATCAATACCTATTTTTATGAAGAAGTATTTTTCCAGTAATGGTATGAAAAGTACAAGCTGGCATCCTCTTACAGCGAGCAAAGTGAATGACAGACTAAACTATTTAGGGGTCCATTGTTACAGTTTTAATTGTATTTTTTTTGTATTTATGATTTTGTATACGGGTGTTTTTATTTCATTTATTTATGTATTTATTTTTTTCAAATTCTGTATTTCAATGTTTACAAATTGATCCTGGAAGAAACATCTTCAGTCATTTATTTTTATTACACATTCAGTTTGTATCGGAGTTTACATAAAGTTTTAAATTGTCTTTTAAATTGTTTTGCACAATCATGTAATGGGCCGCGGGAGGGGGGGGGGGACTCGGTAATATTCTGTAGTTTTTGGTGTCTACCAAGAGTCTGATATATTCCTAAAGGTAGACTTCAGTATTCAGTGTAATTGTAAAGTGAATGCTCATTTGTAGTGTAAATGCTCACCTTCAGTGTTTTGTTAGCGTTGAAGGTTTAAAAAAAAAAAATAGTGAAATGAGATAAAGAAAGAATTATTCAATGTGAACTCTTCATTCAACTTCAAAATACTATTCAAGTGAACTTGAAACAAAAAGAGCACATACGTCTCCCTTTCTGTAAATAATAGTTGTCTTCAAGCCAGAAAAAACATCTACTTTCTCCAAGTATTTGAGATGAGAACATCACTGTCCTTCTATGATGTGCTGAACGTTGTGACGGGTGTATTCTGTGATTTAACAACTCTGGGACAGACAGGGTGAAAAAACAAGCTATCTCTATCCAACGTTGTCCTCAGTGTGCTCTAATGTTGCGTTTCAGTCACACTTGACTCTTCTGTGCAGCCTTCAGTGTATCTGTTCTACACCGCTGAAGTGTTCAAGTCCCAAACGCTGTATAATTTTAATAAACCGGTCAGTTGATACACGCCGACTTTCTGGTGTTTTGTTGTGCAAGTTGGATTTTGTTTGAGAGTTGTATTCTGAATAATTGATTCTTGATGGATATCTTATCAGCTTTTAACTCCTTTTCTCTCTCGTTTCTCGTTTTTCTCATCTTACTAACACGCTGCTGTTAACAATTTGTTTAAATGTTTTGCTTTCTGACGTCCCAACAAAGTCCAGAATGACTGATCTAGAAAAAGTAACTTATGGATCATAAAGCGATAGTTCAGATCTCTTAAAAGTGGGATTGTGTAGGAACGTTTTGAATACCGCTAATTAACATTTTAACTGATTGACCTCAGTTTGGAGACTGTTTCAGCTCATTTGAATCAAGCTAGGACCAAAGAGGATTGCTTCATTTTTGAAACTATTCAATTCTAAAATTTCATAGTGGTTTAGACTAACACTGTTAATAAACTTTTACACCTTATAAATTAAATAGGACTTTATGGTTATTTGCAAATACAAATGGTAGCAGCTGGCTATAGCACTTCCTGTGCAGCCTGTGGCACGTCCAGCAAAAGTATCTGTATAGAACAGTAGTGTCGAAGCTTTTAAAACCGTGTTTGCATGAACCACTATGACAAATTTGAGATTAAATAGTTTTTAATGTATTTGTTTTAATTGCAACAATCCACTTTGGGTTTCTTCCTGAACTAGCTGTTAGCTTGTCAGTCTGGTCAGAATTAAACTTTATTTCTCCAAACGCGTTGTTCAAAAAGCTGTCTACAACAGGTAAGATATGAATCTTTTCACAAAACCCAACTTCAAATAGTCTGAACTTTCTCTTTGATTGATTCGGTGCAGTAAAAGGTAAGGCAGTGAAGTAGCGCTGGTGGTTTGCTTTGTTTTGTGGCAGGAAGGGGAACTGGGCTGCATGTGATCATCCCTGGTGAAGACAAAGTTTTTGTGGAGGATCCCAGTCGCAATGGACAGAGTGCGCTGGAAGAAAAGTAAGATATCGTAATAATTTGTGTTTCATATTTTTCCCTGGCCTTCATAGTGACTGTATTTAGGTCTGTCACAATAACAAATTTTGCTGTGAGATTAATTGTCTCAGAAATTACTGCGATAAATGATAATATTGTTTGAAATTTGACAATAATTACTAAATATTGTCAAATTTAAGAATAAATGTTGGCAAATTTGTGTGTGTATTACCTTAATGACCACTGGATGGCAGTATAAGACTGTTTGAGATGAAGGATGGATAGTGAGGGAGCGAGCAGCATGTCTCTTTAAGCAAATGGGAGGGAGGCCTCTTGATGTGACATGGGCTGTCTCGTTCCATTTTTCTGTTCTCAAAATGGCAGATGCTCGGTGTGGTTTGAGCTCTTTAGCATAGCACTTTTCACACAAAGCTTTTAATAAAAAAATCAGTAAACAAGTTCTCAGCTTCTTTTTGCAGAGAAAAACAACTTTTTAGATGACGGCACGGGTTTCAGCCGTGAATTTTGGAGCTTTGACAAACTGAGGTTTTTTCCCCCAAGGTTGGCCTGTTAGCTTAGCTCATAGCTTATCTTCTCAGCTTAGCTGCTTTTAACGATCCATAAATGTGATTTTGGATGATCAAAATGTATTTTAAAGAGAAAAGCGAAAGGGAGGGGTCAGTGAAGAACACCGGAGTTGAGCCTTTTGTCATCCAGTGTCTTCAGTAGAAAGAGAGAGACACGAAGAAACGATAAAACCGATAAATGAAAACGAGGTCGATAATTTTCATTTATCATGCGATTAATTGATTTATTGTTTATTGTGACAGGCCTAGTTGTATTTGTGTTTCATAAATCCCATGTAAAGACCAAAAAACAACCATCTCATGCACTTTTCCCTCTGGCTCTGTAGAGCAATGGTTCTCAAACTGGGGTTCCCGGACCCTTGGGGGTTTGCAAGCCATTGCTTGGGGATCCGCAAAAAAATATATATTTTTTTTTACAAGCACATAGATGTTTAACAACCTGGTAAAGTACTCCAAAATGCAGGAAATCACATCTACTTCATTCTTAATTTTCTGGGGGATGACCCACATTGCATTTGAGACAAAATGAAGAAAATTCTTTAATAAGCATGAGGGTTATGAGGGGGTCCCTGAAACGGTTTCTCCCCTGTAAGGGATCCCTGAACCCAAAAACTTTGAGAACCCCTGCTGTAGAGAACATTGTGTTATGCATATATACAGTATTTATTTATTAATCTCTTAAACTGCCCCTTGGGGTATTAATCTGATTTTTATAGAAGTAACAGCATTTTATAATATGCTTGTTTGATAGTCATTGTTTGCTCTTTGGATTTCTTTTTTATATTCAGTTTTTGCTACATTTCTGCATCGTAGAACAACACTTTATTCAAACAGTCTGATTTTGATGGATGTAAGTGTTAATTTAATTTCGTTAAAGGAGCCTGGTGGATGTGGTTTACGCCTTACGGGATGAAGTTCAAGAGCTGAAACAGGTGAATGAGTGCAGATGCTTCATGATCATTTCTGAATAACGGTACTGCTTATAAAAAAACACACCAGTACTGTATATAGATTGAAAACTTTGAACCATTGCATCTTGTTTTCTCGGTGACAGCTTGACTGAGATGATTGTTTACTCCCACAGGATAATAAGAAGATGAAAAGGTCGCTGGAGGAAGAGCAGAGAGCGCGGAAAGACTTGGAGAAAGTTGTGAGGAGAGTATTAAAGAGCTTGAACGATCCAGCGTGGGATGAGACAAACTTGTGAGCCTTGTTGTCCTCATCCACCTTAAGCTTCGAGAAAACGTGCATACTACATGTGCACTTGACTGTAGTATTTTAAATGCACACGCTCGGGTTAAAAGTTGAAAACTGCTCGTTGGAATGAAAGCAGGGCTGGATATAAGCTATTAACCTTCGTGTTTCAAGACGAGTGTCGGCGCCGATGCTCTGCTTAATGAACGTGTCTGACTGAGACGGAAACCTGAGATTCCACATGAACATTCCTCAAGCACCGATTCAAAGGTGAGCCGGTACACATTTCAACATTCATCCTCGGTGCCTGCGTTCAGGAAGGATGCAACTGGAAGATTTACTGTCCACTGGTACATAAATGGTACTGTTTTAGTGTTAAAGATCACAAAGTTTCAAAATTTTTGAACTTGAACCACAGTCTTGCTTAACGTCTGTGTTAATTAATGTTTTTAATTAAATGAACTGTTGCAGGGATTTTCTTTAACACAGGTCTGATGATTTTTTTATTTTTATTTTTACCTCTAGTGGACGTTAAAAAAATTGATTTTCTTTTGTTGTTTGACCGCTTTGCCGTGTGACTTTCTTTTCTAGCATTTTAAATGTGCACATATATCTGTGCTGTATAATGTAAATACTGCTAAACGTGAGCCTTTTCCTTTGGGAGAATAAAAACAAGTTTATTAACAAAAATAAGTTTGAATCAGTTAAACGTGACTCGCTCATAAAGAACGGAGGGCAATATGTTTGGTTTATATGGAAACATTCTCCAGTGAACAAAGGTTAGACTTTCAGCAGCCCTTCAAATACTCTACAGCCTGAATGATGGTAATTATTACTCACTCATCCAAATGTGGTAATGTTTATTTTTTTTACCTTAAATAGCCACCTGCCAACTTCTTTTCCAATCCTTCTTTTTTCATGCATTCTTCATTTATTCCTTCTGTGGGGCGATTAGGGAATCCATATACATTCTTTTGAGGAAGACCCTCGGGGGTTGTTGCAGCGAACTTTCATGAAGACTTGGCAATTGTCTTTATGCTGGAAGCCCCACAGACCACTGAACTACCACAACCCTTAGCGTGGAGCAGAGAGCGGTCATCTAGGGCGCCCTGGGGAGCAGAGGGCGGGGGTTAAGAGCCTTGCTCAAGGGCCCAGAGTGGGGCAGGTGTGGGAGTTTCACCTTTTCCACCACATTTTGATGTTGCTCCAGGACAGGCAACCTTCCGGTCACAGGCTCACCTTCTCTAACCTCTGCACCACCACTCCCCCATTGGAATCAATATATGAATTATAAATTAATAAACATTTTCTATTTCACATTGAGATTGCATTAATTGTTATTTTTTTAAACCTAGTCCTTTTTTCTTGACAAGTTTTAGAATAAGTTTTCATCTTCTGCTAAAAATGTTAGATTTTTTTTTTAAGCCTTCCGAATCGAAGGCGAAACGTTTCAGCACAAAAAAAAAAGAAACTGTCCAGATGACATGACTGAAAAATGTTGGATTGTGTACATGGATTATTGAGCATGGACTTTGTTGTTTTCAACCAGTTTGACACGACTGTCAACAAGGAAGAGGGCCGGCAATGGAGGAGGGGGCGTACCAAAGAAATCATCTTGGCACCAACATAACTGGTTTGTTCCACTTTGGAGTAAGCTGTTGGGGGAGGAATCAGTTTTGTGTTGCGTTTCCTTGACTGATGAAGCCTTCTGGATGGAAGGTGAAACGTTTCAGCACAAATAAAAAGAAATTGTTCAGATGACCTGACTGAAAAATGTTGGATTGTATACCTGGATTATTGAGCATGGACTTTGTTGTTTTTTTTTATTTTTATGGATGTCAGGATTTGGAAAAACACTTTCAAAGAACTACCATCTCGAGTTAAAGCAACTTCAGTTGGGTTGATAAAAGGTTTGGTGTACACCAAGAAGGTGATTATAACAAGGGTACCACTTTACAATAATGCTCCCCTTATAGATGCTTATAAATAGTTTATAGCTACGTTATTAGTTCCTCTATAAACATTTTATGAATCAATAACTGTTTATTATGCATTAAGGGTGACGGACAAAACTGACCAGTTTGTTGCCAAATGTGTTCACCTATATATATATATATATATATATATATCATCTATAGAGTTATATTAAACATTTCAGACCAAGTTACTACCTTGTAAGTACAATAAGCATTTGAAAACCCAATTTTTTTTAAGCATATAATAGTTAATATGATTTATAAAGTGTTTTTAGAAGAAGTAACAACATATCTATAATCTATTGATTAGCCATCTATAAGGGGAACCTTACTGTAAAGTGGTACCAAAAAGGGAATGAGCCGTTTTTAAAATGCTTCTCTTACTTGAGATGAACTTTAGATGCTGCATCTGTGGGGGTTTCATTTTTAATAAACTTGTGTCCATGTGCAGCTTATCTGATGCACGGTTGCCATGTTTTCTGTGTTTGTACACATTCATTAATCCCTTTAAATCAAGATATATTGTCCTGAAGTGACTCAACAGGAGTAGGTTGGGTTTTCTTTAAAGGTGAATTTAATGTGTTAAAATTTATTTACTGCCCCGATGGAAATTTATTGATAATGAGATTTAAATGATACGTAGTTGCAAACATTACTAGTTTATTTAAATGAAAGTAGAAAAATGATGAGGCGATCACTGCATTTTGTGGCTGCATGCACCACCTTTTTTATTTTCTTTAGCAGGCTGTTGAAATCTATTGTGTATTCAGGCAATTGTGTCGAGCTTTGTGAAAGCGATGATCCGATTGTGCTGTCGAGTGAATAAGCACAGATGTCAACCTTTTCTCTGTGACTCTCACCTTGTCCACTCATTAGTAAATGAAAACAGTGCTCTTTTGTTTCCTCTTGAATATTCCTTTCATTGGAACAAAAGCACAATTCACATTCTTGCTGTGGAGCAGATCTTTAGAAGATAAAGTCCAGCGTTGCCACGACCTGACCTTGCAGCTTGACTCTCTGGAAGTGTTGGGCTGTAGCTCAGTCCCTAAAAATGACACATCATTAGTGAATGCATGTGATGGGATCTTCTGCTCATGCTTTCCATAATGTCAACCATTATGGCCAAAGTCATAAAGAACATAACCGTGTGGCAGATTTGGTACCTTGATTTTATGTTTCTTTATATCTGGTTTTATTTTAATTTGGTTATACTGCCTTCCTGTTTTACCTTAAAGTGTCTTGTCTTGTCGGATCATCAGTGTATCGTCAAGTTTCTTGTCATATAACCTTGTTTTATTGTTTTGACTTTAAGTTGGTTAGCTCCGCGGCCTTGGCTGTTGCTGAGGCAAAAGCTTGAATGTAGGAAGAGTTCGGTGAGACCTTGGATAACCAGACTCGGCTGGCTCCGAGGAGATTCTGGTAAACCATCTGAGGAGGGGAAAACAACTACGAACTCTGTGTTCAGTGAAGGTGGGGTGCTGTTGACCTCGAGCAGTGATGTCGTCAGGAGGTGGCAGGAATACTTCAAGGACCTTCTCAATCCCACTGTCACGTCTTCTATGGAGGAAGCGGAGTTGGGGGACTTTAGGGTTGGTCTGTCCATAACCGTGGCTGAAATGGCCGAGGTAGTTAAAAAGCTCCACGACGGCAGGGCTCCGTGGTGGATGAGATTTGCTCTGATTTCCTTAATGTTCTGGATGTTGTGGGACGGTCTTGATTGACGCACCTTTGTAACATTGTGTGGACATCGGGGGCAGTGCCACTGGATTGGCAGACTGGGGTGGTGGTTCCCCTCTTCAAAAAGGGGGACTGGAGGGTGTTAACCAACATCTTCAGCATCCTCTTGAGACAAAACTGAGAGACACATGAGCTGCCAAACTCCCCACGGATCCATGACGTACCCCACAGCGTGAGTCTCAGCTGGACAAGAGGGTTCTCCAGGACCCCGTCGTTTTGTTGAAAAGATTTTGTCTATTTTGTTGAAAGTCCAGCTCACCAAATCCATAATCTTAATTTTTGTTCTTGAGATGTGTACCAGGAGCTTCAAACATAGAGGGCTAAGCAGGAGGAAGGAGAACGGGAGGGAGGGCAGGAACGCCCACCTTGAGCGAGAGCCAGAGTAGAAACCAGAACACATCTCAGTGCTGAACTTGTGAGTGAGTCTATATACACCAGTGTTCAGGGCGGTCCATGTCTTAACCAGATATCAACCCCAAAACACATTTAAAAACTGCTAAGGTTAAGGCAAAGCAGAAGTTCATATCTCTTGAAGTGAGGGTTGGTGCAAAGGGTTATGAACATGTTACATTCTCAACTTTAGACTGAGAAGCTGAGTTGAAACATGACCAAAGTGGATTGTTGCCATTTTAAGACAACTCCAGTATTCTGTGTATCTTTAAATTGCTATAATAAAATGAGTTTTGCATAAACTCCTATGAAACTTTCTAAACTAGAGTTGTTTGAAGACAGCAGCTATGCACTTTGGTCTTGGCCATGCATGGACTATAGTTAGCTTCTTAATTCAATCAAAATTTAACTGTTTTTCCCAAACAGTATGTATTCAAAAAGCTATAACAGGTAAGATATTGTTTGTCCATACCCTGTTCTTGGAAGTGCACTTCAGGAGATCTAAAATATGGCTTTAAGGGCAATGCCTGAGCATAATTTGTCTGCTTTCTTTCTTCTGTGGCTACATGTGAAGTATATTTTTTAAGCTTTGAAGTCCAGGTTTTTATTTTTACCTATAATTTCCAAAAAAAAAAAAAAAAGAGAGAGAGACTTAAGAACTGCTTTTTTGTTTGTAATCTGGAAGAGAAGCTAAAAAAGTCCAAGCAAAAAAATACATTAGTCCTCTGACTTAACCCCATCTCTTTCTGTGAATTTTTGAACAGGATGGAGTGACAGCTCGTCATCATGGCTGCTCCACATTACAACTCACACCCACTGACTATTGTGGAGCTCATGAAAAAAATACATCAAGGTCTTCCACTCTCTTTCCTTCAGTCTTTTCTCTCCTCAAAGCAGAGAATCAATCAGC